TTTTATCTATGGAGCTTTAATTCTTAGCAGTTCACAAACATCCTTCAGTTTTAAAACTACAAGAAAATGGGGAAAAAATGGAAGAAAAAAAACTGTGTCCATTCAAAGTGGCGGAATAATGCTTACATTCATAAGATGTTGTGTTGCATTTTTTGAGTTGACTTTAGAATGCATAAGCCACAAAAATGCTTGAAAATAAGCATACAGTATACTGTAAGCATTACATTACAGCATTCAACAGCAGTTATTAAATAGCAGCAGTTAGAAACACAACTCTTCTAAGATAAGTAAAGCTTAAACATTTCAAAATGGTGTAAATGATGTGCATTCAACTATAATTAAACCAGGCATTATAATAATTAATATCCATTAAAGATTTGAAGTATAAAGAATTTGTCAATTAGAAATGCCAGTAGGCTTTTACATGTATTTCTGTCTTTCTCAGAGATCCCTGGACATAGTGTTATCATGGCTATGTTGTTGAATTTTTGTCGTAGAAGGAGCCAAGAATGGCTATTAAGGAAACAGATACTAGATATGCCTCATAGAAAAGGGGAATCATTATTGTGGTGCTTTGCTGTGGAATCTGACCTCAGAAGTATTGAGCTGTTCAGTCTCTCGTGCTTAATGTATTCTCACAAAATACTGGGCTAGCTGTTCTTTTAAATTTTCAAAATAAAAAGGACCTCAAGGTTAATTAGGGAAGTCAAAATAATATTGGCTACATATTTCTGTTTGTTTCTATGTTTTAGCCTGCAAAATAAATCTATAATCTTATATGGGAGATTTACAGGAGTTAAGGGTAATGCCTTCACAAACAAACATACATATTTCAAGTGATAAATAAGCTAAGTATTTAAACAAGTTTAAGTACAATATAGCCTTCTGCACCATTAATTGTATGCATCGCTATAGAAGTATGTGCATTTTTTAATTTTTCTTCATGTTGTTGTCATTTTGTCTTTTTGTTCAAGTTGTTCTACACCGTCAGTGTCATTTTTTCATGCTGTCATATCTGATATGTCCTGATAAGCTTAGGGTAGAACAGCTCCAGTCATTGACAGCTGTAGGGTTTTAGGGTTTTCAATCCATCTGAGCCATTGATTGCTTAGGTATTTATGAGCGTACGTGTACAAAATTAACACTTTGTAAAAGTCTTCAGCTGTGGTTTTGAAATCCTATAAAATCACCTCGGCTGAAACACTAGGTGACTGAATTTTTGCACCCCTGGGCTCACTGATTCATGTGAAAAAATCAAGAGAAGTAAAGGTAAGCACACTGTTGCAAAACATGCCTACACGCGGAGTAATGTATGTTTTAGTTGATAAAATAGCAAATACAAGACATTGATAATAGAGACCTGCATCAATATGCTGCATAGAGTAAATAGTTATTTTAATTTACACATGTTTACTGTATACAGGCATACATTAATTTTCATCACAGAATGGATCCTTGCATTCTTTGCAGTTAAGTGCTTGGCCAGGCACTGAGATCTTTTTTCCCACAATCTACAGTATCGGCTATACTTAGTTTTCTTCAGCAGTTGCTGGAGGATGGAAAGGCATTAGTCAATCAGTGAAGCAAGAAGCCTTCGAGCCCACCCATTTAGCTTCAATTTTAAGTCAGAACGGCAGAAGCTTCTTCATGTGTTGTGCTCCTTCAGGGTACTTCAGGCTTTCATACTGTATATGCTGGAGAGCCCCATTCAAGACCTCCAGTATAACAGGACTCCATCCATACTTCCCTTTTCTAACTTCTTTTCCAATTTGGGGGAGAGAAGGAGCCGAAGCCTATAGCAAGCAAGAGGTGCGAGGCAGGATACATCTGGACGCCTATCCATCCACAAAGACACACACACTTGCATGAAGGCCAATTTTCCCAGAGAATGTCTTTGGGCTATGGAATCACACCAGAGCACCTAAAGAGGACCTAGGCAAACACAGGAAGAACGGCCATCATGCACTTAGCACCCCAGGAATTGGATCCAGGACCCAAGTGCTATGAGGCAGCTATGGTCCTTTGAGCCTATTACAGTGATGTACAGTAATTCCCAAGGAACCCAGAGACTGTTGGATTCTCCTACTGCACGGAAACCTGTTCTTTCAGTTCTGCATAGCAGAATTTCTTGCTGTTTGGGGAGTAGTGCTGTGTGGATCGGAGGGTAGAGATGTACTGGAAGGATATTAATCAGAGCCCAGCAGGGGCAGAGCTGCACTTGTCACACAAGCAGCTTTTCGTCACCTTAAGGGTCGAAGATCAGAGCTGGCCAGAAGGGTCATGAAGTATATCTAGGCAGCCAGTTAGAATTCACGCCTTTGTCCCTTTGTTGGCCTGATAGAGCCAACATAACTGACTTCATCCTGGTCCCTCCATGACAGGGCATCTATTGAGGATCTCTGCCTGATGGCAATGTGGGCCTCACTTTATGTCTGTGGTCTGCCTCTGAGTGTCTTCATGATTATATATCATTGTGACCTCTGGCTGCTTAACGTACTATTGTGCCACACCTTGGGGCAATTCTGTTCCACAAGATGTGATGATTTATTCGAAAGAGAACGTGATTATCATATCCCTTGCTCCCTGAATAAAAATGTAGTCATGATTTGAAATGATGAAGGTTTTTGAATGTGTGGTTCTCAGCCATCTGGCTGTGAAGTATGTTCCTAATACACACAACTCTGTGTGAAAGTTGTGTTTCCTATTTTTCATCATAAATTAATTCCCTTTTATTTTACGATTGTGACCCTGTGCCCCTGTTCCAAGACTTGAATTTGAAATAGTCCCCTGGGTTGACCTTGATCTCTTTTGCTCAAGACTGCAGAGATTGCTATTTTAATACAGTATGTGTTTATGACAATCCCTTGAGACTAGGAATAATTGCTGCTTTCCCTTTAATTCTCCCTAAGACTATAATATCCTTTTAGTTGTATGGTGACCAAAACTGAAGATACCATTCTAAATAAAGTCCTTGGTTTTAATTCTACTTGTACATTGTGCTTTATGCTGAATTTCCAAGCATTCTACTTATCTTTATTGTTTCTTCATATTACCCAATTGATCATATTACAAACCATCTACTGTTTGTAAACGCCCAAATCCCTACTATGTTAGAGAATACTAGTAATAACTCTATCTCTCTATTTCCTTAAGTATAGCTGGGATATTGCCATCAGTTTTAAGATGACATAAAACTTGTATAATATCAGTGACAGTTATGTTGAATTTACCTAATATTTAAACATGCATGAAATGTTAATGTATTTGCTATTTTTAATTTTATTTTATGAATATTTATTATTGTTGTGCTGCTGAAATTTGTTTTTTATTATTTATTTTTGCTTTTGTTTCAATATTCTTTCCCGTCTCTCTGATGACAATCTTAATGTTTTTTAGTTGTACCTACTGTAAAGCTCAGTATACCGTTTTTCTGTCTGTGAATCTTGGAACCCTGTGTTTTGTTTCTCTGCTGTCAGCCTTGACTGCAACTTCCTGGATTTTGCAGAAAGTTAGTTTATTTAACCCACGTATGACATTACTTCTAGACCAGGAATTTTTCTGGTAGATCTACTTTGAACTGTTTGTAAGACAGAGTTGTTCTTTTACAACCACATCTATAGCTTTTTTGTTCCCCATATTGTTAAGAAGAAAACAGTGATTATTCAATATAAAATTTAAATGCTTTTCAGAAGTATGTCTTATACCTCAATGCCTCATATCTAGAATTCTACTGCACATTCTATTTT